AAAACAGCGAGATTTTTCATGAGTAGATTTACGTGGGTAATCCTCGAATGCCTCAGCATGCAACCTGAATATCCAAGAACTGACTTTCACTTAACACAATTGAGTACTGTCATTCTCAAAAAGTCATGCCTATACAGAAGCACGGTGATCTCCACATCGCAAAAACTAGGACATTGCCCTCGGCGGTGATTATATAACGAAAAAATTCGATTGCGTGCCACTACAGCAATGGACCTCGCTCTGGAAATGAACCAACGCGTGAGTGGAACGATGCCTCATCAGCTTAATTCATTTTTATTACATTCTTTATAGTTTTATTTTCCTCTCCATTTCACTGATGTTCGGTCAGAACATTCTAGATGGTTTCCATTGAAAAAAAAATTTCTTTCTCAGCTTGGCGCGAAATGAGGAAAATCGTTCCATGGTTGGACCACTCCCGACGCAGTCAGCGATCGGCACGTGTCGCCTGTTGTGGACATTTTTTTTTCTGTGGTTAATTTTTGCAAGCACACATTTCAAATCTAGAAAAATACGCAGACTTTTTTGACGGATTCGAAGAAAATGTGTTGAATCCTAATGCGTGGAAAAAATTCTCGGTAATCTCAGTATGAGGAACTCGGATTCCCTTTTATCGTTAACAGATCGACGAGGAGGATGAAATGAAGGCGACATATTGGTACGTTATATCAAATTACTGTATTTACTCATTTTTTAGTAAAGCCTTTATTCTGAAATTCTGGAAATGTATTTGCTATATAGGCACTATTCAGATGGCCAGCCTTGTACTATTTATTCTCGGAGTCTTCTTAGATGTGCGGAAATGTATCTGCAGTTATTTTTGAGGAGCTAATCCTTTTATGACAGCCACTGTTCGAATTCTTGATCAATCAATTTACTTTTGAGTCGCCGAAGCATTTAGGGTATGCTCATAAAAATGAGGACATCAGGTAGAACTACCACATTTGCATGTTTTATCCAAGTGATGATCTACGAAATGTTGCAAGTAAAAAAGCATCGATATAAGACAGCGATTAAAAAATGTCGAGTAACGGGATTGTCGTGCAGTATTCAATCGGAATCTCGAATTCATTAAAAAAAAGTCATTCGACGAGTAAAATAGCCCTCAAATCAAAGGCTTCAATTAAAAACTATCCTTGAGAAATGAAAAAAATCATGCTGCAATAGTTTTATTATTTCTTTACCGATATTTAGAAGATTTACTTATACAATTTCTAGATTTTTCAAAACTTCGTTCATGAATTGCATTGTACTGCAATAATTTTTTTATAATTCTAAAATAATAAGTACCCAACCTTGTCAAAAAAGGAATTGAGGAAAATTGCTCTCAGCATTATTTACGATAGTAATTACGCTTATTTCAATGACTTTTCCAACGTAATGAATGCTTTTCATGACAAATTTCCAGGTGAATGATGAGATGTAAATCTTGACGGATTTTTTTTTAAATATAACGAAACGTTGTCGGGAACGCGTCTCGTGTTTGCAGATCGGTAAATATATAATTTATTGAATCGATAACTGATTGCCTCAATCTTGTATTTAGGGAATCATTAATCGTTAAATAATGAAGATAACGTCGTCAATCGAGTATAGATGATCAATTTGATTTCATACACATATCAAGATTCAGAAAATTCGTGGACCGATTCGATGACATAGCATGATTAAAAAGTCAACTGAGGAATCAAGCCACGAACCTATATTTGTCACTGAACCAAAGTCAGACAGCTCACGAGTCAGCAACAACACAGCTCGCAACTGTGCGGTCAGCTGTAGCTGTCGCGATTGAAAAATTCGGCAAGAGGTTAGCAGTTTTGTGTTCACAATAAATCTTTTAAATCCTTAATTTTTCTTTCTATATATTTCCAAAATTCTTTTTAATGCCGAAATTCGCTCTTCGCCGTCAAAATGTCGTCTGCTGCCTGAAAAAAAAAAAAACATAGAAAATAATCGACTCAGACAATTCATGTAATCTGCTCAGAAAATCAGTGGTTTCGAAGGAATATATGATGAAGTATCGACTGAATAATCAGAAAAGTTAATAATAATCGCCAATATGGCCCTAATTTCCCACATTGTCGCGATGCTTTAGAAGATTATATCTAATGCACCTAATTCAAGGTTCTAACGCTAAAGAATTGCATGAAATGGCGATGTATTGAACGAATAATTGGGCTTCGTCGCAATTATCACCAGAATTGCATACCGTGTCGCGATGAATCAATTGACTGACGTTATCTCACACAAAGTAGCTTCAAGAGAGCCGGAGGAAAAGAATAGAAACATGTTCCCATAAATGCTTCCCTGCTCGAGCACGTTATGCATCATTCAAACTTTGCAGATAAATTAATTTTGAAAGAAAAAAAAAGTACTTGATTCCATCGGTATTATTCTTTCCACCGGCACGCAGTGTTGAATATAAACAGTGAATCGCACCGGCAACCGTGTGCCAGTGCGAATTCCGCGGCCAAGTGGTGAAGAGAAAGTCCCTGACCCGATGCAATATGTTTTTTTTTTTTGCGTGCTAACTAACAGTCCTTTTTTCACGAATTTTCTTACTCATAATTTAAAATCATTTGAATTTGTAGGGAAGAAGATGTGACATAGATGATTGAAAATCGGAAGATTTTATTGGAAGAAGCACTCTGCAAAAATTTAAACACAATTCGAGCAATTGCCTTTCGAACCCGTTGCATTTTTGCATGCAGTTTTCGCACTGTGGTGTAAGTTTGAAAAAATATTCTCCTTGTACAGGATACTGTCCGTAAATCAAATTACGAGTTCGTTTTGAAGAAGTCAAGTACAGTATTGAAAAATGAAAATTTTTCACTATAAATTCCCAGATGCATTTTCGAAGAAAGTTTTACTGCTAACTTCGTGACAGTATATTTGAAGGCATCTTGAGAGATCGCGTAATGAAAGCAGCGCATACTGTGAAAAAATTGCAAGTAAAAAATATTTTTCGAGTTTTGACTTTGACAATTTAAAACTAATAGTCAAAAATAGTGGTCATCGCGAAAAAAACCGTTCTCATAGACGTCGAATGATAATACACTTCGCTTTCTGAATAAAGTTTGTCCGTTTGAAAATGGGAATAAAGTGAGTCAAATTCCATTTTTAAATTTAAAAAGTGAAACAATAACTTTACAGGATTCCGAACCATAATGTTCAGAATTTCGTACGCAGTTTGCCTGGATGAGGAACACCTTTTTTAAAAAACTATTTCGAAAGCGGAACCCCTTAACAAATATTTCGAAGTTTCCAGTTTACACAAAGACCAGAGTAGAATTTTTCATTTATATTCATCTTATTTTTCAAGAATTTTGTCTCTCTCTTCCTGTGCAAATTTTCTTAGTGCTAACAGTATTGTAATTTTTTATCTCTGAATTTAAAAAGTGAACGAATAATTTTAAATTATTAAAATCAGCAATAATGTTCAGAAATTTGTGCGCAGTTTGCCTGGAGGAACCCCCTTTTTTTAAACTATTTCGAATGCGGAATCCTTTAACAAATATTTTGGAAGTTGTCAGTTATACCCAAATGACCAGAGTAGGAATTTTTATTTTTATTCAGCTCATTTTTCAAGAGTGTTTATCTCTCTCTTCGTGTGCAATTTTTCATGGTGTATACAGTATTCTAAATTTTTTTCTCATTTCATCCCACGTAAAATTTTTATTTGTAATTTTTCCTGTACTTGCCGTGAATAAGTTCCTCTAAAAAGTCCGGGATTAGCAATAAAAGTCTAGAACAGCTTCTGAAGTTTATGCTTTCTAGGCGATATTCGGTTTTTTCCGTACGTTCAAATTCTATTTGTATTTTTTTTATTTATCAATGATCAGAATTTTCGCATTTCTGACGGCGCACTAAACAGTCTGTACGTGGTGCCATTTTGTGAGCCGCTCAAATCTAACACCTGCACTTTTTTCTGGCCTAAATCACAAAAAAAACATTCATAATTACTGCCAGCAGTCAATTATGTACAGATGGGAGTGCGGGGGAAAAAAGTGTGCATGAAAAATTCGTACCACGCGCTCTCATGTTCCGTTTTTACAGCTAGAAAACGCGGACATGCACGACTTCCTTTCATTTCCGAAGTTTCGAGACACTGCTTTTCCTAGGGTTCGTTGTTCGCGTGGTCTTCCTTTCTGCACGCACATTAGTTTGCCAGGTGACCCAACCGCGGTCAGGTACGCGAATATATAGAGCTTGCCTTTGTGCTAAAACGAAAAAAAAAAATTCCTGCTGGGATGGCATGGGATCCTTTGCTGAACTGCGATTTAGGGGAACATACGAAGTGTATTGTTTATGTAAACTTCCACGAATGGAAACGATTTCAATCACCATGATGGAAAGTTTTTGAAAGTAATGTCAATTTATTTTTTAAAGGAATATTTATAAGTTTAGGATTTCGATCGAGGAGCTGCTTCGTTCCAACAGAATCAAATCGCACAGCTCAGAAAGCTGAAACCCATTTGAACTTTTGGATTCCGCCCTAAGAACATATTAAAGATGAGAATCTGGAGACTGATGGTCTGTTTATTAGTGCATGTCAATCAACACAAAGAAAATGTGTCTCTATGCCGTCATCTACGCTGTCAAACAGTGTTCCTAAATAAGCGACCGAATTACATTTTTAAATTTACTCTTACGAGTTGAAACAACATGAATGCTGTGAAGTTGCTATTAAAAACATAAAAAATCCAAAAGCAATTGGAAACGGCTTCACAATTTATATGCTGTACAGTACACTCAAAAACAGCTAATCTAGGGTCTGAACTCTGATTGTTCAGCTGCATTTATACCAACATCAAAAAGAATGTTCGAAATAAAAAAAAAACAGTTAAAAATACTCTGTACATGAATGCATTTTTTTTCGTCCACTGGTTATAAAGAATTATTCAAATAAACAAAAAACGTGTTTTTCTTTCTTGCGAAGTATCTAAGAATCCGTGTGATCATAACGCGTCAACTTTTCATTCGCAGGTGTTTTCGCGGAAGACGGTGAATGTGTGCAAAGAAAATTTCATATTGACTGAAAGAAACTTCTGCTGAAAAAAAAGTGGTTCGAAAAAATTTCACACGCCCCGAAGTGAGAACGAAGCACGTTGAACCTGAGCTCCACAACAACACTTGCATCCATCATCCACATCTCTCTCGCTCTCTCATCCTTGTCGCCCTATACAAATATAAAAATACTGTATATGCATAAGAGGCTGTCCAAGCAACAACGAAAGGGAAAAAAGAGCAAAAGAGAGCAGATAGAGAGAGCATCGTCATCGTTGGCGCAGGCGTCACAGCTATACACAAAAAGCTCTACACGAGCCTCGTCGTCGTCGTCGCACTCATGCAAAAGAGCGCAATAAAAACACAGAGCCAGGTTCGCGAAAGCCGCAGCAGCAGCAGCAGCTGAGAATAGAGCACAAAGCTCGTTTATTTTTTCCCCTTCTCGGTGCTGCACAGCATAGAGACAGATCATATAGAGAAGACCGTCATGTCGTCTTCCGGAGTCGACGGTTCGGAGTCTGCGTTGTTGTCCGCAGCTGGGTATCTCACCACTGCTGCGCAGGAGGTTCTCTCGACAGTGTCGACTACCGTGTCGACACCGACACTGGGTTCAGTGTGGGACGATGGCTCGCAACGACGGGTCTGGCCTGAATCCGACGCAGTGGCTGACGGTGATGGGAACAGAACTGGGTTTGCTGACGGCGCGGTCGACGCGATTCTCACAACGGCTCTGGAAGCGTTCCGCATAACGTTGGAAGAGTGTCGACGTGAAGTGAGTCGAATCCCCTTACATACACTGGTCACTAAAAATACAATTGATGCTGTAGTTCTCTGTTTAACACTGTTTCAGACAAACCAACGCCACCAAATACCGCTTTACCTTTTGTAAAAATAGCGGTATCGTTTTTATATTTTTGCAGAAATAGTGTACTACCACGAATTCAGCACGTATCCTAATACTATATAGTAGTGCTAGTGATAGCGTGAAATGGACGAAGAAATTGGCAGTTCGTTGTACTTAATTTCGCTATAATTGTTGGTGGGATTATCATAAGATAATACCCACATCAGAAAATGATATTGATGCTGTGGGTTCCCGAAATTTAGAAATGCCTCTACGCATCCGGACAATTCTATTGCTAAACAATTTAAGAAATTGAAGAACACTTTCTAGCCACCAGAAAACTTAAAAAAAATATCGACTCTGAATGTACGTGGATGACAAAACTGGAAAAATCTGTAAAATTTATTTCTTTTTATCCAGACGAGCTAGAGTCTCGAAGTCAAATTTGATGAAATCAACACTTGGCAGCCGTATTCATTTTTTTGACGGGTGAATTAGGATGATTTTTATTTTGCCTGTCCTTGCATTCACACTTCAGCAGACACTGTATGCAGCATTTTTCGGATATCTTTTCTTTATTTTATAAAATCTCATACTATTGTGAATTTTTTGAACTAATTTTCTAAAATTTAGAAAAATGATCGAATTACGGTTTTTTACCGCGTATATACTCATTTGAAGTTTACATGAAAATTCTTGTCCTCATCTCAACATTCCAACAATTTCACGCAATATGTGCACAAATTGTTTCCTAAGTTAGGTATCTCACTGCACTGCACTGCAATCACAAGCTCTGTACACCACCCTGATGTACAGTACAGTACAGTAATGCACAGGCGGGTAAATAATATTCGACTCTGAAATGCAAGGTTCTGAAGAGCGACCTCTATCGTACTGACTTAACAGACAAACCAGGATCTCGATATTTTGAGCTCCCTTTTGCACACCTGTGCAGTTCCAAGATTGTCATTGAGTCAGAACTCTCAGAACTAATGAGTTTTGAAACAGACTGAACACAGTAATTCCGTGAAAACAAATTATTGAATGCCATTGTATGACCCCCCCCCCCCCAAGAATTTCTTGAGAAAAAATCGTGTTTAAACACAGAGGTACTCTTGCGCGTGGTTCGCTGAGATTGTATTTCGATCTATAACCAAATTAATGTCGATGGAAAGAGATCCAGTCAAGGGAAGATATTATGTGACCAATTTTTATCATTTCCTTGAATTTTTGACTAATCCCATATAATCATTATACTTTACCAATGACATTGCCCGCATATCTAGGTATAAAAAGCGCTGTTCCTATGCAACTTCTGTATACTCAATGGCTATGAGGAGAATTTTCAATAACTCAAATTTGCTCCACTTAGATGAGAGCACACATTTGGGAAAGGAAATCTGAATCCTGCGGCCATATGAATATTTAAAAATTTCTTACTATATTATCAAGAAATTTTCGCGATGAAATTTGGAGCAAAATTCTCCAAAATCCTGAAATACCACTCCAAGCATTGAAAACATTTTGCCTGCTTCTTTTATGAAGTCTCTTGAATGCCTGTAGAAAGAGGGCAGATTAAATGCTCTTCATTCTATTTTAAAATGTGCATGGACAATTTTTCTCATGCATCTATAATACAATAGTATTTCAAAGGTACCTGTTGATCTTACTAAGGTAATTTACATATAATAATAAATTGGGACCCAACTTGAAAGAGGAATGACAAAAATATTATTTTATTCCAGTCATTTTTGGACGATAGCAAAAATTTGATCGGATATAATTGGTCGAGGAGTCTGAGAAATAAATCCAGAATTTTCCCAGTTCCGTCCTTCGTGCCAAAAAATTCATGGTCGCATCTTTTGCAAGTGTTCAATCGTCTGGGAAAAGAAACCTTCAAACGTGATTCACGCTTGAACAGTGGTTTTGCAATGATTCAACCTCGAAACATAGTTTTTATTGTTCGAGCCAACGGTTTCACATCATCGCCCATGAAGCAGTGAATTGTGAAATTAGACTGTCAATCATTTGTGATTCATTCCAAAGCTCGTTTGAGACTATAAATTCCTTCCGGTATTCCGCGAAGAAGCTTTCACATTAATCGGAGTCAATCCCATCATCAATTTGTGTTCAGCAACCGA